TAGTGCAAATTTTTGACTTTCCACCATATTTCGAGTACTTTTCCGAAAAACTATAAACTTTCAATGGAATAGTGTTTGTTTCAGCCTATCTCACTTGGCCTAACCCCTGTCTCTTATACACATCTAGATGTGTATAAGAGACAGGAGCGGGACCGGTAGCGGCAGGATTTGGCAGAAGGGGATACGATGTCTCCGACAAAAAATCACGAGGCAAATATTAAAACAGTGTAAATTTTTATTTCATTTCCTTCAACTTAACTTATATTATACCGGGATGGTGTCCGGTGGGAGATAGTTGTTGCTATCATAGTTTAACTTTTATCTATCAGAATCTAGCCCCGAATCCTAGACTCATGTATTTAAAGCGGCCTGTAGCATGTGTATACAGCATATATTTGTATTTTTTGTCGATGGATAAATAAATGTCCGAATATAAGAATTGAATACTGTTTTCTGTACACTAAATGTTTGTTTGGGTCAGTTAAGAATTAGCACTTAATTAGGCCTATTAATGAAATACAACGGTACACGAACATTCACTTGTATGTTTTATTTATATTTTGACATTAACATAGGCCTTTAACACTCAATATTATTTTTATTTAACATAAGCCAATAAACAGCTTCCACACATAAAATAACAGTAGGCTTAACCAATAAAAATATATAAAATACAAAACAAGATTTATGCAAGATTAAAAAAAACTGTACAGAAGTCTCCGCCCGGCAGGCAGACAAGGCCATACTTTAAACTGGCATCCAGGCACTCCATCGAACGTCCTATTGTTAGCATCTCAACTGACCCACTTCTGTCAGAGCGGCACTCAAAGGGAATTTCTGTAGACCAAGGAGGAAAGTTTTTTCCTCCATGTATAGATCATTTGTGTTCCCATGTGATATGTGTGCAGGGAGTTGATAAATGTTTTTTCGTTCGTCGTCAGCTTCTTAGCGACGCTGTGCTAGAAGAAGAAATGTTTGATCAATCTGAGTGCATTGGCTAAACAGTGGCTAGCGCCTGTCTCTTATACACATCCTGCCATTATCGTCATTACCACTTAATTTAACTATTAGGACTATGCAGCCTTTAAACTTTGAACTTGGTTCATTTCAAAGTAAAACTTGTTCAGTATTTTAAATTGTGCAAAAACGGTAGTTCAACCAGGGCCTGGTCTAACGACACAGACGCGTTTGTCGCCCAAAACAATAGAAACAATGGCAAACGCGTTCAACAGCACAAACCCGTTTAGACGCGTCTGGGACATATTCCGACTAGCTTATTAATATTCATGAGGCACGATAATTAGACGATCGCTTTCCCAGACGCGTTTGTAATACATGGTTTTCCCAGACGCGTTTCTGTCGTTGGGGATAATTTGTAGATCGCGCCTTAGGCAAAGTAATTGGGTTACGTTTGTGAGGAAAGGGAGACTTTTCAAGTTCATAAAATGCTTTTCCGTAGTCTGTGTCTTCAGATTTCCGTAGTAAATGAAAAATTTCCGTAGCACCTAATAATTTGCCTTGAGTGCAAGATATAATAAGTATAAGTTGCTCAAAAGCGCAGATACATCTGTGGAATTTCAAACAAACAGGATGAAGAATCATGCGTCACTTTTCTGGACAATCAGGCCCACTTTAAAATTGGGTCCGACCATCCTGAAAATGTGCCCGATCGTCTTTATGGTTGATTGTCTGTAATTCGATGTGGAATTTCAGACAGATGGGACAGGATGAAGATTTTTGGGCCAATTTTTCCTAGTTTTCATAATAATTTATCAGTAATCCGACAAGTGACTTTTTTGGAAGAATGTAACCACGATACTGATGGAAAAGTCATTTTGGACTTAGACCTATTTATGGGTTCTGGCTTATGATAAATTTCTGGGGAAATGATGTTTAAGATTGGCTTGAAATGAATTCAACTATATTATTTGGCAAACAGTTCATTTTTATTCTTGCAATCTGGCTTCCACTAAAAGATAGTTGCACCACGGGTGTCCATATAGTCTACACTGACCTAATCGTGTAATTGTGATGAAGTACACAGATACGCTTTATCTGTTACTTGGTCTTGTAGATGGCTTCGGTAGAGCAATGAACGATCGGTGATTGAGTTGAGAGTAGCTGTAGCGTGTTCTTTGCACAGTAGTTGGTAGAGCAATCAAAAATGACGATCTAAAGGAAATATAATGACTTCGCCTCATTTAGTAGCTTAATTGGTAGAGCAATCAAAATGGAGATCTAAATCAAAACAATGGTTTGTCACAGTTACATTAAGGCCGGCCAATATTGCATAGCCCACATGCAGTGCAATTATGTTTTTTGGTTAAAAGTCTGCAATATTGGTGGTAGCCAATGTGTGCGCTGAACCATAGAGATCTCTTGGCCCCTGGTTCCATTCTAATCATTGCTGTCTGTGTATTTCAGTATAGGGCTCAATGCAAGTTAGGATAGTACACGGTCTTTTGGATGAGACGTCTAAGCCATTGGTCCCGTGTGCATTATGGTCCATTTGCATGTTAAAGAATGCAGTACACTCTTCGGAAAAGAGTAGGGGATTGTCTCCTGGTGTACTGCCCAATCACCACCAGAAGCACCCCACTAGAAATAGTTTTGTTTTAATGGATGTCATGTTTACTCATTATGTTTACAAAAAATTGTTTACATTTGCATCTCACAAAGGGACAGATTGAGTGAGCAATTAGAAAAAAAAAATAGCCACATTTTTTTCAACAACCTATTATTAATGTATATAATGCATTGCACTCATTCAAATTAAAACATCATTCTAAAATCTAATTTTTTTCTTTCTATAAGGAATGTCCTACAGGAGTTGTGAATGAAGAGACCTTCAAGTCCATATATTCCCAGTTTTTTCCACAAGGAGGTATGTTTAAACATTTTAAATATTTTTTTTTTCTTATTTGACAAATATTGTTGTTTATCACAGTAGTAGGCCTAATACCTGTCTGATAAAGGTAGAAAAGGCCTGTCCATGCTGTGATGGTGAAGGGTATTTGAAGAAAAAAAAAGACTTAATAAGCCGTCTTGATTCATTTCGTAGTGGACTTGTGGATGATGTCAAAGGTTAAGGTTTAAAATAGCCAGACAAATAATAGTAAACTTTAATACATGATGTAAAGAATGTTTGTAGTAGTCAATTTGACGAATATATACATTATAAAGATCAACTGGTAAAGTATTATAACACTGTAAAATGCATACAATAATTCTTATGATTATTTGTATATGCATTAACCTTCAACATAAATATTGAGTATGCTTTTTATATTAGTTGGCATTTTCAATGCTTGTTCTTATTCTTAGTTTTTGACATATATCTACCGTTTTAGTTTGATACAAATTAGACCCTTGTTCTTAACCCCGGACTCATAGGTGTATATTTGCAAGTGTTGGGCAGAGGCATAGGTATGGGCAGCAAGTGCAAATTACTGGGGCCCAGGGCTGTTTAATGTTTATTAGGAAACTTAAACAGCTAGTGAGTCCCTCAATAAAGGTGTTAAAAGCAACAATGATTGATTATTGTGTTCATATCAATTGTGTATACTGTTAGTTATTCATAACAAAAACTGAAAACGTAAATTAGTACCTAAAATTGTGTAAAGCTAAACGATCGGAGCTTCTGGGGGCTTAGAGAGGAAAGGGAGAGTACTCAAGGGAAAGTGTGCTTGGAAAGTTCCTCTAGTACCAGGATATACAAGGTTGTTCTCACTTTACGGATCTAGAGTGCATTAACACAAGATTGGAAATTCAATTTTGCATTAGTTAAGGTGTTTGTTTTACTTGTTTTTATATTATTTGTATTCTTTTATATGTATTATTCACTTGTTTTCAGAATATAACAGAAGTAAATAAATGCCTGCTGAGCTAATATTTTGTGGGCTGCTTATCGCTTTTTATACAAAGGAGATGTCATCCATATATTAACTTGTAGACAATTACTGTTGTTGACATCTTTGCGACATTTAAAATATGATGATGACTATCACGAAACCCCCAACTGTATTATTACTCGGGCTATGGGCCTTAGTTGACACTTCACATCAAAGGGCCAAGTAAGGGCACTGGAAGCCAACCATCTTAAATGAGATCCTAATTCGAATGATAGATTCTATCCAGGGCTATAGGCTGACTTTTTGGTCTGAGGGAGTGTGAAAATTGAAAATGAATCCTATTCGAATTAAAACTTAATGGTTAGTTTTAGTATAAACACACTTTACACATGAAACTGATTTGCTACCATGGGGGAGGGGGGTATGAGATGCCTTCTGCACCCCCAACTTACACCCGTGATATCCGCTCTTCAGTAAAATTATCATTTATGCATGCAAATTTTAGGCGTTTTCCTGGAAGCCATATTCGGAAATATAATTCATTTCAATTCTATTTTAAACTTTTCAAAGATTTGAGTCATTGTTCTGAGTTATGGGTTTTCTATATTATGCTTAATTACATTCTGAATAGGAAAAATGTATTATATATTCAGAGTAGAGCATTAATCAGATTTTGTTCATCAGTGTTCTAGATCTTTTTTTTAAATCTAGACTACATTATCTTAGCAATGCAAAGGTTCCAATGTGCTTTACATAAATGAAAAGGACATTAATTTTATTTAGATGATTTTTGACCCAAAAAATACTTTAATTTTATATTGTGCCAAATGAAAATTTTAGTTCATCTTTATTTATTTTATTCTTTTTATTAATTATAACTATACTGACTATTGTGTACATTAAATTTCTTATTTAGAGATAAATATGTTGTTAAATCCCAATGTATATGAAAAGGACATAATTATTATCACCAAACAAATACTGTAATTTTATATTGTGCTAGTTTAATTCAAACTATACTGACTGTGGTATGCATTAAATTTCTTATTTAAAGATAAATATGATATATAATTCAAAGGATAATTTAGATTTAGATGATTTTTCACCAAAATGTCAAAATGAAAGTTTAATATATCTTTATATTCTTTTTATTGATTTATTGATTAAAAATATACTGTTGTAGACATTAAATTTCTTATTTAAAGATAAATATGTTATCAAATTCCAATGAAATACAATATACAAATTAAGTGTGCTAGCTGATATGTAGACTTGTCCTACATCCATAATAATCTAGGTCAATAGGGTCAATGAAAAGAATAAAGTCAGGCATATACTGCATTGTATGATGGTCGTACAAATGTCGGCCAATGATTCTATCTCCGTTGTCTGTGAAAGCTTGATGATGTCGTCTGCTGATTGCCATTTTCAATCTGAGCAGATCACTTTTGAAAATGATTTGTTACGCTTGCGTTGTCGCATTTCGTTCTCTGTTATGCTGTTTAAAATTTATATTAGATTTATATTCAAGTATTGGTAATTTTTTCAAGGGTTCGCCAATTAAAAATATGGTAAATAAATGAATCTGTGGAATCATGTTGTTCAATGACAGCCACCACAGATTGTGGATGGCTTAAGTATTATACATGCATCTGTTACCTATGAAGAAAAATAAATGTATGTCCAATTAAAATTAACAGTTTATTAGAGAATATGCACTGAAAACCGACATATCAAACATTCCCCATGAGTTGTTATTTACAAATTATTGTGGACATAATGGCAGTGAAATATGGAGTATAAATCTAGTTTAAGTATCATATCAAATTTACTCCAATTTCTTGAAGCCTTTCTCTGTAATTGCATTTCCTGCTTGCTCTCTGCCTATTTACATGACTGTCTCACATAATCGTGTATTCTGCTTCACTGTGAGATCTAAATCCATATTAACTTACCGGTAGTATCTGTTTATCAGATGTTACTTAAATCTTTATATATTCTATTAATCGCACTTATTATCTTGGTATTCATTATGTTTTTCCATTAGGTTAATTTTTTCCTTGTAAATTGTGTTATAAATGAAGCTTTTTGTGATCTAGTAAAAACATTTTTATCAGTTATAGGTGCAATATTATTTTCTGTAAAATATTCTGCCTATATTTTTTTTAAATAGGTATATTTTTGTGTAATGGTTTTGTACACCAGGTCTCAACCATGAACGATATATATCTCAAAATCACTTATGTAGATTCTTTAAAATTACAAAACCAACAAACCTTTAGAAATTTGGTTTTGCCCCTTAAATTTGCAATGGCCTTGGCATACTTATGTAATTCATTTTCATTAATGAGATTCATCATTAAAAGTAGAATCCGTAATCCTCTCCATGTTTGACAGCGAGGTCATTAACATCATCTGTCAAGTACATTAATTTTATAAAGCATGCATGTCTTTACTAATTGTTTTTGTATAACTTTTAGTTTCTTTTATAATTTAGTTGTTTTTCTTTCTCATTGAACGCACCGAAATGTTGTGTGCCACTGAAACAAAAGTGTATGTTCAATTGAATAAACAATAAAATAATTTTATTTTTTCTATGCCAATTGGGTCAAACCATTACCCTGTTTTTTATATCTCAAAGAAAAATTTATTGGCACAGCAAATTTACCAATGCATAGGAATTGAATTAATTCTGTTTGGAAAAATAGATGAAGATCTAGATATGTTTTGTGACTTATAATCGGTTACTTAGAGCTCCTCTAATCCATGATGATCTACCATATCCGGCTAAACATCTTTACTTTGCACTTTAATGCAGACACCGAAAATTAGCTCGCTTTATAAGTGGGCTTACCCTTATACAGGTTGAATTCGGTATATTTTCTTTCTACTTTCGATATGACCTAGATTAAACATCATGTCATTGGATTTTTCAGGCTGACGTGATGGAGATTTGGATATGATGTTGATATGGACATTTTGACGTCTATGACGTCTTCTGCAAATAAATCATGGCAAATAACTCAAAAAATTGGCATAAATTTTTAAGCTCACGGTTTGAGGATCTGTCGATTGAAAGAGGGTTTGAGCTTTAATGCGTCTAATTCTTGCCTTTTGACTATGTAGTTTCTGTTTGATTTTCATCGTTTGAATGAGTTTTTGTTTGTGCCGCACCAAACATGATTTTGTACTAAGCTATATCTTGAATAAGCACAGCGAGAGTATGTGTTACCCTGTGTGTAATGAAACACTTGGAGAAACAGGGTTTTAAATACAGTGTTCAAATGAATAAATAACATAATAAAGACAAGAGCATATCTTTATAAATGTTCATTTGTGATGCTGTATGGCCTACGGTAGTCCTACCGAACTACTACTAATAGGTATGGATGGCCTTTGTACATAAAATAAATCCTCCATGCGCAAGGCAGTATAACACATTTACATACTAGAATAAGTATAATAAAGACTGTTTTCTCAATGCTCAGACATACCCAGTCTAACCTTTCTTCTTTTTGTCTTTACTGTTCATTGTAATATACAATTAACGCTGCTCTCGAATAAGTGATGCACGGAAGCCTCCAACAATTTTTATAAGGTCCGCAGCGTTTATTTAAGGATTTACAGTATTTCGTGTTTTAGTCCTTTATTTCTCTAACATGAAATCATGCATGTACTTTGCTTGTTTTTTTTGTTTTGTTTTTTTATCTTGGTTTAGGTAGTGCAATGAAGTGTCTTCTATTTGAATAAGCTCCTGGGATTGTCTTAAAGTTGAAAAAGATTTGACCTGAATATTTTCTATGTCATGGATAATTTTTATACGTATTGTATGGGACTTACCAGAAGTTTTAAACATTAAAAAATCTATATCTTAGTAGCTATTCCTGAGTAACACCACTTCAGTTTCTTAGAAATTCATTTGTGCAATATATCAAAGACTAGCTTTAGAAATTCATTTTTTATCATGTTTGATTACGTATTAGTTTATGTGAAAATTTGACGTTTATTATTCATCCTTGCATGAATGTTGCCT